TGGTCCACACCTTCGGTATCTCGTCGGCCGGATACACGCCGATAGTCCTGGAGGGTAGTCCATTCAGTGCCTCGCGAATCTCCACGCTGTTCATGGATGGGGCGTACGCAGCGGAATCGTTTTTTTTTCGTTTGAGCGCTGTTGACCGCCGGACAGATAGTTCCCGAATGAAGTTCGTACTCCTACCTCCGTTCAATTTAATAACAATAATAATAATGAGCCCTCGTTGCTCACGAAGTGGCGCAGACACCGTCGCCGTCTGGCTCGTCCACCCCTTCGCTATCTAGCTCGGTAGTTTTCCGCTCGTGCTCCTGGAGGTGGACGGTATCCGCCGACATCGTGTTGGAGGAGGTGGTGCTGTAAACGGCGCAATTCGGATGACAGTTCGTTTGCTGAGGATCCCTCTGGCGAACCAACCACTCGCGTATACGCTTCGCGTTATTTAGCGAACACGAAAAATGTTTGTTTGCTTTGCGCACACCGTGGTATACGCATTGATCGCCGACTTGAGGAAGATTTTTGAATGAGGGGCACTCCTCCGACTCCTCCAGATTGACGATCTCCCGGTTCATGATGTTGCGCAGGAGATTAGCCTTCTCGCACCCACGCGCGAATATTTGGCCGGTATGGTGGGTGACGGCTTGCAGATTTTCGTACAGTTTTTTGGCCGATACATCACCGTCGAACCACTCTATTCCATGATGATGCCTGCTCAGCCAATTGTTCTGCGAGCGAGAGCGAGGCGGTAGATCGTTGAAGGGGTAGGGCGGTGCGACGATCCAATGAGCGACAAAATCGCTGTGCACAGCGACCACGGCTACCTCCTTCGGGATGAAGAGTTCCTCGATGCCGAGGAAACCTTGGATGTGGATTACTAGATCCATGGTTAACAAAGTCGCTCGAGAGACTGAGCGCGACCACCCACTGCGATGTCCGCGTAGGCTTTATGAAAAAATGCGCCGTCTTCCCCACCTCTCTCTCTCACTCTGCTTAGCCGTTGAAATATACCAGAAAGTGGCGCGATACGTCTATCTCCAGAACATTCTCGTACTCAGCATAAATGATGCAATTTACCGTCGATGACAGAGCGTTCTCGAATCGCACCTCGATTCTTACGCTGCCGTGCCTGATGAGATTCCAATGGGAGTTCTCATTGGCCGAGAGACCGGGTGTCAGATCAAAGGCAAAGAGGCAATAGCCATCGGGATATTTTTCCCGATCGATGCAATTACCTTGATCGAGAAAATGCCTGCCGGTACCAGAAAACAGCGTGTGGTACGCGTCCACGTATAAACGATTCTTGGTGAAATCCGGCTATAGAGGTTTCGACGGTACTTGAATACCGTCCACACAGAGACAGATAATTGATGTTGTAGTGCGCAAAATTGAAAGGATTGAGTTTGCGATCGCCATTGAAGGCTCTGTTACCCACGAAACCGAGAATGATTCGTTTCGGCAATTGGCCGAGAATCGCGTTGTCCAGTGTCTCGCCGTGCAAACCGGCGTGCATCGACATGACCTTCACCTCTACACGCGTGAGCGGGTACTTCGCCGTGGTTTTAGCCAGTGCGCGCTCGTGAGACAACAGTATTCCGGGGTTTACGTTTACTCGGCGCACGAGCAGAGTCGCCTCTAGGATGTGTACTTTAAACGAGTCCGTCGGGTCCATGAGACAAAACGAGTCGCGGCTGCGCACTACGGTTCTCCGCGACTCACCCGATTCGGATTAACTGGAGATTGAAATTAAATGGGACTAACGGCAATTAAGGTCCCCTTGATCAACCAAGTAGAAATTACTCCTTCGGGAAAATAGAACTTTATCTAAACATGGATATCACCGATAACCGAAAGGATGTCAAGATAATTCGCGCACTTCAACCGCCGTCCGATAATGTCTCGAACAGTAATTCAAAATTTCCGATCACTAATCACTTTTCCGAATCTCGATCAAGGGGGACGGCATCTTCCGATAAACACGATTTCACTTCCGATGCGCGACAACTCGACCCCGGGGGAAAAGGGAATGTCTCTGCTCGAGAATCTAATATCAAAACGAAAAGGGCCAAAAAGAGGTACTTAGCACAAGGTTGGCATGGAAATAGGCTAAATTCTCACCTTGAATGTCGGTGCGTCAGAAATCTGCGTGGGTTGATATCTGACCCGCTGGGTTCCCCCTTTTTCCTTGTGCGGAACTTTCGTTTGCACAGTCGGACTTGGACCTTTTTCTGAACTCTGCGGGCTCTTAAGAAGGCTTGCTGGGGTTCCCTCCTTTTTTCCTCGGATATGTGTATCGTTAAAATTTTTAAAACGGAGTGCGCTCCCGACCGAGCTCCAGATTTTCCGCGGCCTCCTGGACAAGGAGTAGGGGCAAAAGGCCCTCCTAGGTGGGGCCCATCTTTTACAGCGTCCTCAAATTCCTGGAGCTCGGTAGCGCCTCCAGGACATCGAATCTAGTGCTGACGCGGGGTTTCGCGCCCGGAGATCTTCCGACGGCGCGTGACTTCGGCCCCCGCGAGCCCGTGCGCACCTCTGGAATGCCAGATCCGTGGTTCGAAATCCGTCTGGTTCGAAACTCAACTGCGAAGTGTGTGCTTGTTTTTCGAATTAAATTTTTGCGCTCTCGTTAGTTGAGGAAGGGAGCAATATGTCTCTCAGGGAGGGGCGTTGGTTTTGCTGAGTTTCATGGTCAATTTATTGCGACCATCTACACGTGGTTCTAACCCGTGGTCCTGAATCGACATATTGCTCTGCGGCTCGAACTTGGCGTGCGATTTTTCCGCGATATATTAAGTGTTACGTAGGTATCTTCCGTACCCTAGAATAGGGAAGAATCCATTTTTTTTTCAATAACCGGAGTCAGCCATGGAAATCCGAGTACAGAAACGCGAAACTCTTGCGAAAGAATTCAACAAGTTCACCGGCCAAACGACTCCAAAAGTCACCGACCGACCCGGGGCAAACAACCTGATGACTCCGCAACGCATCAGCACGACTCCGAAGTCCACCCTCACCTGCGCCCTAAGAAACCCCCACCAATTGGAATATCCTGCTAATAAAACCAGCAGTCCGATCAGAAGTCGGGGCTAGTCAGTCTTTTAGTCAATTTGTGATAAGTCAACGTCAGTCGTCATCGAAACTTCGAGTGGAGCTCCTGGCCCCGGTACTCCGTTCCTAGCGAGTCAGAGACCGAGACCATTGGACTCCCTGCCAAGGACTACTATCCTGCGAGCTGCAGTAGTGCCATCCGGTACGCCAGCGATCCAGCCACCGAGTCAGGACTAGACGGCGGCACTGCGACTTCCGTTGGGCGGGAGGCTTCTAGGAGACCTCCAACCCTAGGGCACGCCACGGGACGAAGGTGTTCACGCATTGTCATCCGACCGGGTCGATCAAAAGAGACTGTCACCGATTACGGCCGCTGAACAAGTCAGGTAGAGGATTCTTCGCAAGCTCGATTCATCCTCATTTTCATTCTAGTTTACTTATTAACCCTACATCTCCGACCAAAACCGAATACTAACCATTATCGCGATTTCCATGCCTTGCTCCGGTTAAACCGGATAGATTAAGAACCCATCAATTTTCTTTTAACAGCTGAGCTCGAATCTCAGCATCGCGAGATAGAATCACGCGCAGACCACCATTAAAATATCAAGAATTCCCGCGTCAGCACTCCGGCGTCCAGTAACCTGCCGCCACTAAAGCGCGCTATCCGACGCGACGCGGAAGTATACTAATCCAGAGAAATTAGGTCAAGGCGCCTCCTGTGCTCCTCACAGCTGACTGTAGTTCAGACCTCGCGTACGAATAAATATAACTCTTATCGCCACATAGCCATTCGTTCGCACCCCCTTTTTATTCCTCACTCTCCTAGATCCCACCAGAAGAATTGATCTAGCCGCTCGGATCAATCTCCTCACAAACGCAAAATAAACGTTACGCGCAAGATTTGGGTAATCTCCATCCGAATTACCCCGGCCTCGCATCCGCTCGGCCGCCCCGTAACAAAACTGGTGACAGCGGTGGGATTCGAACCCACGCCCTTTCGGACTGGTGGGACCCGTTGTAATTAGACACAGTACCTCCCACCATCCCTTTCGGAAAAACCTCTAAAGTAACTATAATTATCACTATTTCAAAATATTTTAGAATTTGCACCTTCATTCTCGGAAAGCAAAATTGAACGTAGAATCTCTGTCCTTCCAAAAACAACCCTTCGCCTAATAAGGAGTCGAACCGACCTTCCCATGGTAACTTGTTACCAGTCAGACCCAAACGGAACGATAAAGGGCAGTGGTTGAACGACACCGGAAAAGACTCAGGTTGCTTAAGTCGAACCGACCTTCTCCCGGTAACTACGTTACCGACCGAGTTAAGGTTGAACGACTCGCGTACCTTATCTCTCTGGTGGAATAATAACCACTGAGCTAAGGAAAGATTGCGGCTTGTGTGGAATCCTTATCACCTTATAAACCAGGTGAGCACAAGGAAATCTACCGCCAAAAATCTTCGTTCCCATCCCTCTTTTCTCAACAAATAAATGCCTAAACGAGCAGGAAGAAAGCAACGAGATTACCAAGTTAATAAGAAACAGAAAATCGAAACCGTATTGGATATCCCTTCTAAATCCTTCAAAACCCTTAATAAAGCAATCGCCCTCCAACGTCTTAAACAGCTATCTGTTCATACAGAAATTCTGGTAGATATTCCCCCGACTAAACAAATATCCCTTCCATCCACTTTCAGAGAATCTTCAATCGAAATTCCCTTATTAGAAGTCCAACCGTTAACAGCTGACCTAACCGAGGCGATCCGAGAAATCGACGCGTTAGTGGAATCCGTCGCAGCGCGAATTCTCCCGAATCATTCCGATCTTGATATCGGGACCATAGATATTTCGGACTAAGTTAAAATTCTCACAACTTCCCATCTCCTTACGAACAGATCTACGTCAAAAAGGAAAACCCTATCCTAAAACTTAAGTCTCATATTTCGGCACAATGACTACCGACCGAAACCTCACCGACTTGCTTAACCTGACTCAGGACCACATGCAAATGACGGAGAAATCCTCACGTATACGTTGCATACAAGGAGCAATTCGCGATGTTCCGGAATTCAATGGCGACGACCCCCCACTCTCCACCTTCGCACAACGCGTGGAAAACGGTTTAACATTAATTAACCCGGAAGATGAAAACTTATATCTAACGGCAGTTTTGACGCGTATGACAGGCCCCGCGCGTACTAGTATTGAAGATAAAGCTTTTGGAAACGTCAAAGAATTAATCAGGCACCCGAAAAAGAGATTCGCTCCTAGTAAAGATCTCATTTTGCTAATGGGAGAGGCCAAACAATTATGAATTTTCCCAGGTGAAACCGTACGTCATTACATAGATAGAGTCAGCCAATTAGCCAGGAGAATAAAATCCGCCATCAGAGATAGCCCACAGGGTCAATCTACGAGCGAGGGAGTCAATCAAGCCCTTCTCGACAATTTCATCCTAGGTTTGCCAAGTAAAATGAAGGCCTATGTCTACGCCAAAAATCCTAAAACCCTTGACGATGCATTTAACCAGGTTTTACAATACGAAAAAATCCGAGATGACAGCCCGGTCATATGGGAACCCAGGGACAGGTATAATTCTCCCGACTACCACCGGCATAGAAGTCCCCATAGGAACTACCATTACGACCCTAACCAATACGACAGACCTCCCCCTCACGTGACATATCCTCAACAACCTAGACAATACGATAGATATCCGGAAAGACGCTACGAAAGGCCTAGTAGAAGCATCAGTCCACGGGCCGAGGCAATGCACTCCTTAGTTAGCACTTCCGAGCACAGGCCTCGCATCCCGACACCTCCACCTTGCCGTTCGGACGATGACCTGCTGAATGCTTTAGCAAAATTATTAAGCGGAAGGTTCCCAAAACCCAAGTCACCCGAACCCTCTCACCGAGATAATTATAATCGAGATCCTAGTCCTAATCCGCGATATCGAAACTCCTACAATCTCCGAAATAATGAATCCCCGCAACCTAATCCACAATACAGAAACCGAACTCCTGAACCTCCACCTAGAACGGCACGATCAAAATCACCATATCCCGATCCAAGACTCTACGACCCCTACGCACCCTCGCGGTCCCGGTCGCCATCACCCGGCGCCCCCCTTAGAAGGACACCGAGAGAACCCAGCGGCGCTCCATCATCAAATTCGTACCGAAATTTAAACTCCGAGGGTGCTCGCCAAGTCCTCAACGAGGCGAGCGCGTACCCGAGTCGCGACCCTCGAAACGTGACCTTCGCGAACCAGAACCCCCAGAACCCGACTGCTTGGTCAGAAAGGCACCGTCGCCTGTGATCACCATACGAGCCCCCGAATTAAAAAATGGCCAAGGAACCTGCGTCATCGATAGCGGTTCCTCCGTAAATCTCGTACATCTAGAGGCACTTAGCAGCTCAGCCCCTGTAACATCTGAGGAAAAATATCGAGGAATTACCGGAAACACGACCACTGCGTTAGGAACAAGAATCCTCACTCTAAAACACTCCAAAGCAGCTTTTTATGTATTAGGAAAAACCGTGCTCTGGTGCGACGGAATTGTTGGTAACGCATACTTAGCACAGGAAAAAGCAGAAATTTCCTATAATTTAAATACAATAGTCACAGCCAGTGAACCCATCAGGCCAATTTTCTTTCAAAATCAGTTCGATTT